GATTGAACTGAAAGTTGGTAGGAATGATCAGCTCATGGTCCTGACAAAGTGTTGTTATTTTTCAGGTCAATCAGAAATCCAATATGGCCGCCACGGCCGCCATTTTGAAACACTATTCCAAATTTAGTTCTCAGTTTTTCAAAGTTCTGCTGGGCCGATTGAACTGAAAGTTTGTAGGAATGATCGACTCATGGTCCTGATAAAGTGTTGTTATTTTTCGGACCAATCAGAAATTCAATATGGCCGCCACGCCCGCCATTTTGAAAAACTATTTCAAACTTAAAGTCAAGTTCTGCTAGGTTGATTGAACTGAAAGTTGGTAGGAATGATCAGCTCATGGTCCTGACAAAGTGTTGTTATTTTTCAGGTCAGTCAGAAATCCAATATGGCCACCACGGCCGCCATTTTGAAAAAAACTATTTTAAACTTAAAGTCAAGTTCTGCTTGGTAGATTAAACTGAAAGTTTGTAGGAATGATCGACTCATGGTCCTGATAAAGTGTTGTTATTTTTCGGGTCGATCAGAAATCCATTATAGCCACCACGGCCGCCATTTTGAAAAAAAATATTTCAAACTCAAAGTCAAGTTCTGCTGGGCCGATTGAACTGAAAGTTGGTAGGAATGATCTACTCATAGTCCTGACAAAGTGTTGTTATTTTTCAGGTCAGTCAGAAATCCAATATGGCCCCCACGGCCGCCATTTTGAAAAACTATTTTAAACTTAAAGTCAAGTTCTGCTGGGTCGATTGAACTGACAGTTTGTAGGAATGATCGACTCATGGTCCTGACAAAGTGTTGTTATTTTTCGGGTCGATCAGAAATCCATTATAGCCACCACGGCCGCCATTTTGAAAAAAAATATTTCAAACTCAAAGTCAAGTTCTGCTGGGCCGATTGAACTGAAAGTTGGTAGGAATGATCTACTCATGGTCCTGACAAAGTGTTGTTATTTTTCAGGTCAATCAGAAATTCAATATGGCCGCCACGGCCGCCATTTTGAAAAACTATTTCAAACTTAAAGTCAAGTTCTGCTGGGCCGATTGAACTGAAAGTTGGTAGGAATGATCAGCTCATGGTCCTGACAAAGTGTTGTTATTTTTCAGGTCAATCAGAAATC